ACCTCAAATATATCTCAGTCAACTAATAAAGGGACAAATATTATCGCACGAAAATAAGAGTTTCTGGAATCTGTACGAAGTATCTTTTAGGCTCACCTAAAGTTGCCCGAAATTTCGGCCATTTTCGACCGCTTGAGAGCCCAAAATCATGATGTGGTGATATCTCGAAGAAAAACGAACGCTTACATCGGCAAATGTCATGGTTGTTAATCTTTTCGGATAGCTTTTTAACTGTGAAAAGATGAAGGTAAACGGCCGACCTCGATCTTTTGATACTGCCCGGTTTTCTCTGACAATGACACTTAATTAAGAAAGCTGGTTAGCCCAGGTAATTTGTGAGCGGGTGGTCCACGGATAACATAATTTGGACGGATCAGAGAGTCATTTTATCGTGAGCCAGTTTCTATGCAAAACTCATCAATTAATGGAAGCTTTTTATGTGTCTGTCTGTATATTATGATTAATTGCTGCATAAAATTGTCAAAGCAGATGTGGATCTCTCTTCTTAATGTAGAGAAATCAATCTTTTAACACTGAACAACAAAAGCTACTGGAAAAATATACAAGCATGGTATATTTGTACCTTTAAATTGGACAGCAATGAAAGCAGTTATGTTAGTAAAGAGAAATGCTAATTATCTTGTACCAGGTACAAGCTGATTTAATGTTTACAAAATTATTAACGGAAAAACAACAACAACATGATATTAAGTGTGAATTCTGGCATCAAGGAGGGTCGTGGGTTGAAAACCTATCTGGGACTCGAATTTTTTTCCGAGTATACGTTTCTCTCAGAATTTAGACTTATTAAATACAAAATTAATACTTTTAATAGCAATCAGACCGATTGAAGTACATCTCCTCCATGGTGTGCTCGTAGCGCGAGCCCGCGATTTAAAATTAAGATTACAATTACTCTCTAAATTGTACGTCTCTAGGTCTAATTATTCATTGCATCAGCGACAAACTTCTAGATTAGGAAGTCTTTAAGAACTTCTTTTACGCGAAAAATCAATGCAGTAGTATTGCTTCATAAGTTTTACACACACTGAGAACGAAGCCTTTAAAGTGCATGCAATTGACGTACGAATGGCG